CGAGTGAGGGAGATGGCGATTCGAGAGAGGGGTTTCGGTGCAGAGGAGAATGGACGAGCCGGAGAAGAAGAGATCGAATGCCAGGAAGGAGCTAAGCGGGATCTTGTATTCGAGGAATTCCAAAAAGTCGGTTATGCGATAATGGGCGGGTAATTGATGAATTTTCAAACGGGGGAGGAGTTTTATTTGGCATATGATAACTCATAATTTAATTTCATTAAAACTGAATTAAATATTTCATATTTCATTTGAAATTTTTCATTTGAAATTTGAAATTTGAAATTTAAATTACTTAACTCTTGTTCAGGCTCGAGTCCAGCCTGAATCGAATCCGAGTTGAACATGAGTAGAGACCGGGCCTGCATCCTACTAAAGAAAAAATTATATCGATTTCCTTGTCATTTATGCGCGCGCATAACTCTAGCAATACGGGTGTCATTCCTAGCTAAAGTTGACGTTCCGGACGCGTCGGCACTGTCCGTTTCGTCATTCAAGGTCGTCCGGACGAGTTCGCCGACGGGCGAGTGGATTCAAGTCAAAGACGTGTGTGGTGCGTGCAGTGATTGCGTGAATTGCGGCGTTCACGAGTAATCGAGTCACAAAGGGTTCACCTAAGGCTGTTTGATCCTATAGGAATTCATTTCGGGCCCTCTACATGTTGGTCCTTAGCCCTTGCAACTAGAAATTGAGTGCTTGGAACCACTCATGCTACTTCTTCTCGAAAATGAGTCAATAAGTGGCTTGAAGTTCTATGGGAGGTGAGCTACATTGCTAGTCCGCTAGGATGGTCAATAAGAACTCCTAAAGCTAGATCCTAGGTTCTAAGAGTAGGAGACTAAGACCTCACTAAAAATGAGGTCAACAATTATCTATGCTTTAGGAAAGATACAATTAAAATTGCTAATGACTCTTGTAATTCAGTTGTTGGTAGGTCGGTTGTATTAACAACCGGTCTAACTCTGAAATCTGTTACATGTACTTCTATTGAAGTATAAACTTTTTATCTGTCAGTAAGTTGACATGTGACATTGATTGCATTGTTCATTTTTCTCTTGATGTTGGGGTCTTTTTGAATTACCGTTCGGTAAAGATGATTGGAACTATTAAGTGGGTAGCCGACCTCTACTTTTTCCAAGAGAAAGATACGGAAAACGAGGACACTTCTTCCAGCAGCTGCAGTTTTTCTCGATCCCCTGAATGCGCTATTATGCTGTTGTATTATCGTTTGGGTCATTCTAGTTTTAAATATTTAAAACAATTATAACCGCCGATGTTTACTAATAAAAATTTTGCTAGTTTCAAATGTGAGATTTGTCAATTAGCTAAATATCATTGCCATATCCACTCCACTGTTGCACGCCTTCCACTTTTTTTTTCATTTATTTACAGTGGCTTATGAGGACCATCTCACACTCTCTGCTACTGTTATAAACAATGGTTCTTTACCTTGATTGATGACCACACTCGAATGATGTGGGTTTATATCTTAAAAGATAAATCTGAAGCTATCTTCACTTAAAAAAACATTTACTCCTTCATTTTGATCCAATTCAAAACATCAATTCAAGTCCTTCGAACTGACAATAATTGTAAATTTTTAACTCTATATGAGGTGAATTCTTGGTAAGTAAGGGCATCTTCCATTATTACTCGTTTACGGACGCTCCTCAACATAATGAGATAGTCGAGAGAAAAACACGACACCTTCTCAAAGTGGCTTGTTTCATTATATTTCATTCTAATATCCTGAAAGGTTTTTGAATGATGCAGTGCTTACTGTCACCTACTCATTAATAGTCTCCAAAAAAATTTACGACTTCAAAAATCCATTAGCCATCTTGATGTCATGTATCCCCATCTATCGTTCCTTCACCACTCTTGAATTTAGGTTTCATGGCCTTTTTTTGGAGCACTGCACTTACTCATAGTAAACTTGATCCCAGGTCAATAAAATGTGTCTTCCTTGGATATTCTGCCACTCAAAAAGGCTATCAGTGTCTTGATTTTGTCACAAATAAATTCTACGTGGCTGATGTCTCCCTCCTTCTTTGAAAGTGTCCCCTACTTCCCCATCACTGCCTCTGGTGGGGGGAGCTAGATTTTTTAGACACTGTTCCTTATCTAAATCTTGTGGATATTTCTCCAACCACTATATTCGATGAGCTCTCTGTCCCTCTGGATCTGCCACCTACCAAACAACCAGACCCTCCTCCCACCCTTCGTGTCTGTACTCGGCGCACTCGTTCTGAAGTTCCTACTCTGGAGCCCGCTAGGCCGCTACCTCTTTACAGGATTTGAAATCCACTCCGAGCGACATCCCCGAAACAAACCCAACTCCAAATGAGGAGGTGAGTTCTCCTATTGATGTATGTAATCTGACAAGCACTCTTTATTCCATGGTAAAATATCTCTTTTCACGGTTTATCGCTAATCTACAAAGCTTTTACTACTGCCCTGACAAATCATTATCTTCCATCCACTATTAAGGCATCATTAGCAAACCCTTCCAGGAAAGTTGCAGTAATGGATGAGATGAATGCCCTTCAGCAAAATCATAAGTAGGATGTTGTGGATCTTCCTCCAAGTAAGAATGCAACGGGGTGCTGCTAGATTTTTAGCACCAAATTTAACCGATGGACCCTTTAAAAGCAACAAGACACGGTTGGTCGCCAAAGACTACTCACAAACATACAAAGTTGACTATGATAAGATATTTGCTCCGATTACTGAATTAAACACCATTCAGGTCCTGTTATCCCTTGTTGTGAATTTGGACTGGCCCTTTTTCAAGCTTGATGTCAAGAGTGCTTTCCTAAATGGTGATCTTACAAAGGAGTTGAACATGTGCCTCTCTCCAGGCTCTGACTCTACCTTTTCCCGGGGACAAGTGTGTCAACTGCGGAAGTCCTCTATGGACTGAAGCAAACCATAAGAGCTTGATTTGATAAGTTCGCAAAGAAGGTAATGGGCTATGGATTTCTCAGACCCAATCAGATCATACACTTTTCTTTTAACATTCCTTCAGTGGTCAAATTGCTATGCTTATCATCTATGTTGACGATATTGTGCTCACAAGTGATGATCTACCAATACTGGAGTATCTGAAAAACATTCTTGCTACTTTCTTTGAAATGAAGGACTTTGGGCCGCTCCTGTACTACTTAGGCATGGAAGTTGCTCTGTCATCTCGGCGCATTTGCCTATCTCAACGCAAATATGTGCTTGAACTGTTGTAAGAGAATAACCTTCTTCTTTGCAAACCAGTGGATGTCCCAATGGATCCCAATGAGAAATTATTTGATGTTCCCAATGCAGTTTAGGTGAACAAGACTCACTAGCAACATCATGTGGGAAAACTTGTTTACCTCTCCCATACTGGCCCAAAAATTTGCCATGCGGTTGGTATTGTGTGTCAATTCATGCATGATCCCTATGAACACTATCTCCAAGTTGTCCACAGTATTATTCATTACTTAAAAGGCACATCGGGCTCAGGTTTGTTTTTCTCGTACTACACTTCTCGGTCTATTGTTGCTTATACGAACGCTGATTCGGTCATGTTCGCCCATGATCAATGATCTACCTTTAGGTATTGCTCGTTTGTGCGGAGAAATCTTTTCACTTAGAAAAGTATAAACAATCGGTTGTGGCTCAGAGCAGTGGTGAAGTGGAGTTTTGCTCCATGTCCTTGAGTATATGTGAAACTCTCTAGTTACCATCATGCTCCGTAAATTACGTATGCTGGTCTCTGCTCCTCTACAACTATTCTATGTTAATAAAGTTCTCATTAACATTGCTCATAATTTGGTCCAACATGATTATATCAAGCATGTAGAGAGTGATCAATACTTCACTATGGAGAAGCTCAATTTAGGAGAGATTTGTGTTTCATTTGTCTCATCCAATGCTCAATTAGCGGATATTCTTACCAATAATCTTCTTCGGTCATTGTTTAATGACTTCAAATCCAAGTTGAACATGACGAACATCTTGCGAACTTGAGGGGGATTATTAGAATTATTATTTTTGCCTTTATTTTATTTGCTTATGTTTCCATTTTATGTATTTTCTATGTGGTTTATTTCTGAATTTATGTTTTTCCTGTTATTTAGTCTTTCTTTTATTTGAGTCGTGTAATGTGTATTTATACCATTTTCCTATGGATGAAAATATGCAGCTCAAGTCTCAAAAGTTAACATATTTCATGATAATTTGATTGTGGAAAAAATGCAACCCTAATTCCTCATTCACGTCATAGTATGACCCACGACTTAATTCATTGTGACACATTTTCTTCGTAGGGCAAAAAATAGACTTAAAAACATAACGAAGTTAATGAGGGAGTGCTAATCATATCTATGGCCTAAATTATTTGTATTAATTATTATTATAATATATTCTTTTTCCTTATTGAGGATATTATCTTTTATTTTGTTTTGTTTTATCCTACCTATATAATTATAAATTAGAAAATATTGTTTTTTCCAATACTCACCATTTTATTAGTAACCTAAATAAAAGCAAAGTCGAAGTCAAGCAACCAGTTGGGGGAGGTCATCAGTGTTGCATTTTTATATATTTTTTGGTAACAATGTAATTAATGAGAAGAACACACTTGAAACTAGATTCAATGGGAAAATTGGTAACCTGAGGGACAAATTGATTATCAGTTCCAAGTCCATGGGAGTAGTTTAATTTACTCAACATGTTTAATCTCAAAACATTCTATTTATTACTCTTAGCTAGTTTAGGATTTAGTAACCATGATTTGTTATCAATCTTTTAAAACAATATACTTCCTACATCAAATATTCTATAAGCTATTTACAATCCATTACCTCTTTTCAGTACTCATCAATGAAATAGAAGCCATTTGCAAGATTATGCTCTTCTTGTTTGCATGATTTTCTTTTTCATGTTTTTTGTATGAAATTGTAAATATGAAACTTTTTTTTTCTACCGTAAGTGCTGTAGTACTCATTTTCATCACTTTTTCACAGGCCGCTATTCGTCCTCCAACTTTTGTTTTCTTTGTTAATGATGCAAAACTTTTTCCTGATACATATAGACGTTATATGGAGAAGCAGCTAAGATCAAATGTGGGTTTTCCTGGTACACCAGTTCTCCTTCTATGGCGCAGCAGACGAAAAGCAGAAAAGGATTGTAAGAATCCGAGGCACACTTTCATTTAACCTTTCCTTTTTTTATGGGAGATTTACATACATAGGACACAATTATTAAGCATTTACATATCTCACACCTAAACATTCATATTTACGTACATAGCATTTTGGTGATTTAAATCTATGGATGAACATGTGTATTTTACTTTTAAAAAGTGATAATAGTGTTATTTTTGATGTGATATTAAAGATTTGAGTCTGTGTTTAAATATAACGTTTAGGTGTGAGATATGTAAATACATGAGAATTTTGTGCTATATATATTGTTAAAATAAAACCAGAATACATCTTATTGATACAAAGATGGGTATATATACCCATTACAGGATCAACTAAAAAGGAAAAGTTAAATTCAGGATATAATATAAAGGGAAAAAATAAAACAGAATAATATAGAAAAAGGAAGGAAATCAAAGGAAATAATTCAGAATAATCAGAATTAAATAATGGCTATTACTAGCCATTAAAATATTCTAATACCCCCCTCAAGTTGAAGTATAGATGTCAATTTGGACGTGAAATCATTGAATAGTGGCCGAGGAAGGTTCTTTATGAGGATATTTGTCAGTTGGCTACTGGATAACAAAAACGGAACTCAAAATTTTCCGGACTCAAGTTTTTTCTTGATGAAGTGTCGGTCAATCTCAACGTGCTTAGTGCGATCATGTTGTACCAGGTTGTGAGCAATGTAAATGACTACCTTGTTATCACAAATCAACTGTAGCGGAACAAAGACTAGAATACACAGTTATCAGAATATGATGCGTAACCAGAGAACCTCACAAATTTCTATTGACATGGATCTAAATTCTGCTTCAGCACTGCTTCGGGCAACCATGGACTGCTTTTTGCTTTTCCACGTGACCAGGTTTCCTCACACAAATGAGCAATACCCTGAGATAGATCGCCGATCATGGATGGATCCGACCCATTCAGCATATGTGAAAACAACAATATTGCGAGAGGTGTGGCTGGAAAAATACAAATCTGAGCCTGATGTATCTTTTAAATAGTGGAGAGTTTGATGGACAATTTGGAGATGGTGCTCATAGGGGTCATGCATGAATTGACTTACTATCTCAACTGCGTGACATGTGTTGGGGGGTGTATGGACAAGGTTTTTGAGTTTCCCCACAAGGTACTGGTAGCGAGTCTTGTTTACAAGAACTGCCTTTAGAACATTAAGAAGTTTTTCATTTAGTTATATCAGAAGAGCTATTGGTTTGCACAGAAGTTGTCAAATGGTCAATGGCTTATTTCTGTTGAGACAAACAACTGCCCTGAGATGATCAAACAACTTGCATGCCTAAGAAGTAACAGAGAGATTCCAATTCTTTCATCTCAAAGGAGGCAACATGAATGTCTTTCAAAGATTTCAATGTTATTAGATCATTCCCTGTGAGAACAATATCATCGACATAAACGATAAGAATAGCTACCTAGTTGCTGGAAGAATGTCGAAAGAAGATTGTGTGGTTTGATTGAGCCTGAGTGAATCCATGGCCTACCACCACTTTTGTGAACTTCCCAAACCATGCTTGTGGTGATTGCTTCAGTCCATAGAGAGACTTTTACAGTCTACATACTTGCCCCTGGGAGGCAGGGGAGTCAAAGCCTGGAGGAAGGGCCATGTAAACCTGTTATGTAAGATCACCATTCAGGAACACATTTTTGGCATCAAGCTGGAATAAGGGCCAATCCAGATTCACTGTCAGGGATCAGAGAACTCGAATGGTGTTTAATTTAGCCACTGGAGCAAATGTCTTCTCGTAGTCAACTCCATAGGTCTGTGAGTACCCTTTGGCGGCCAATTGTGCCTTATTGCGATCAGAGGATCCATCAGATTTGAACTTGATACTAAAGAACTACTGGCATCCCACTGCTTTTTTGCCTCGAGGAAGATCAACAATGTCCCAAGTATGGTTTCTCTTAAGGACATTCATCCCCTCTATGACAACATCTTTCCAGGCTCGATCTGTTAAATCAGCCTCAATAGTAGATGGAAGTTGATGATTTATCATGACCGTAGCAAATGCTCTATAGTTTGGCGATAATCTGCAAAAGGAGACATAGTTTGCCACAGGATAGAGAGAATATATATGATTACGTTCCTTACTAGAGGAACTGATTTCCTCATCTTGAGTCGAAGTAGTGTTGGGCATGTTGTCTGGAGGGGATTCAAGGTCTAGCAAGGGGTTAGCGGGCTCCTGAGTAGGTGCATCAGAATGAGTGTAGACACGAAGAGTGGGAGGGTGTGCAGGTTGAATTAGAGGGAGAGATGGGTGGAACAAAAGGAACCAAAGGTAAGGTTCCTTGATGGCAAGTGGCATGGGAGGAACATCCACAGGAGTAGGATAACTAAAGGTATCCGACAACTCTAGCTCCCCCTCACGTGAGGCCGAGTTAGGAAAGTAGAGAATACTTTCAAAAAAGGAGACATTAATACTCACATAGACTTTATTTGTGGTATGTTCAAGACATTGATACCCCTTTTGAGTGGCAGTGTAGCATAGAAAAACACATGTTATGGACCTCAAATCAAGTTTACTTTCGGTTGGCTCTGTGTTCCGAACGAAAGCTGTGCAGACAAAAATTTTGGGGTTTAAAGTGGAGAAGCCCAATTGTTAGGAAAGAACTCTCAAGTCGGATAAAAGGGTACGAAAGTTCTGAATTTTTTAAAGGTCTTTATTTATGAGATAAGTGGCGGTAAGATTGACATCGTTCCAGAAACGTTTTGGGACATTATAGTGAAACATAATGGAGCGAGTGACGTCAAGGAGATGTCGATTTTCTCTCGGTAACCCCATTTTGTTGAAGGGTGTTGGGAGAAGAGCTATGATAGGATGTCCTTACTTACCAAAAATTCTCCTAATATAGAGTTGAAAAATTCACAACTATTGTCAGTTTGAAGTAATTGAATATGAGTTTTGAATTGGGTCAAAATGAAGGCGAGAAAGTTTTTAAAAGTGACAGTAGCTTCAGATTTATCTTTTAAATTATAGAATTATATCATTTGAGTGTTATAGAAAAGTGTGATATATTAGTAGAATTCAGGATGAATGGTTGAAGCGGAGGAATGCATCGGGCCTATTGTGTGATAGAAAAGTATTGCCTAGACATTCGTTGCTTTATGGCTAAGTGTTGTTAAGATGAGAACACTGACAAATGAATTTATCCATGAAAATGTTGGTATAGCTCTAGTGGCAAACAATATTAGAGAGAGTCATCTTAGATGGATCGGTCATATTAAAGTTCGACCATCTGATGATATGGTTAGAAGAGCAGATGCTTGAGATTCGACTTATGTTAAGAAAGGTAGTGGTAGACCTAAAAAAACTTATAAAAAAATGATCCTAATATATTAGAATTAAATGAAAATATGACACTCAATAGTAAAAAGGGAGTAAAAAGATTTATGTAGCCAACCGCATGTAGTGGGATAAATGTTTGTTGTTGTTGTTGTTTTTAGTGTACATATTACAAAAATGAATATATAAACTGAAAAGCCTTGCGGTATTTTGCAGGCAAGGCTTCAGAGACAGTGAAAAGATCTTCTCTCGGCAGAAATGCTGAAAGTCTATCTGTTGCAACTTAATTCATGATATGCGCTGCTCAGCAAGTGCTAATTAGCATCAGGTCTGGGTACTGTAAGTAAATTAAATTTCCATATTTGCAGCTGTAGAAATCATGTGAAAAATCTGCAACCTTGTAATATCTAATTTTGCAGTTTCTGCTTTGAGAGGGAACAATATTTCTATTGTAGCTAATGCTCATTGTTTTCAATCTCTTGTTTTTTAACTGTTCTGCACTGATTACATGTGTAAGTTCTAATGTAAAAAAGGGAAGACTTTCTTTTATATTTACATATCTACCATCCAAACTTCAATTTTTACATACATCCCATCATTCCTATGCATGAAAAAGTGTATTTAGCATTTTAAAAAGTTAAAAATGATGGTGCTTTGATGTAATATGAATGAGTTGAATGGTATGCATGCCAATGCCACTGTGGAATAATATGTTATCGATTTGATTTTAGCTGTAAAAAATGATTAGCCTAGTATTTGTCAGTGTACGTGTTAGAGAGAGAGAGGATAGAGATAGAGAGAGAAATTCTGCATGGGAAAATAGTGAGAGAGAGGATCATAGGGACAGTGGTCTCGGGAATCAGGCCGGAATGTTCCTGTAGTAAATAGCGAAGCATGTGAACTTGACTGCTCGTGAATGTCTAAAATGTTTGGGAGGTGGTTTTTTAATGGCCTATTTTCTACTCTTCACTCTCTCTCCTCTCCATCTCTTTCTCTCTCTATCTCTAAAGTTAAATGATTTAGATACATGCTTATAATGTTGGCTTTTTTACTCTCCCATATTTTGAAGAAAATGTTAGTTTCCGACGATGATATAGATCACATCATGTTGCAGCGCATACGTGCTGTATAGACATCCGAATGATGAACGTAATGTGTTCTGCATATTTATGTTCACCATTAAGTGTGGACTAGCTCTTACAATAAAAATTTCAAGCACAAAGATGGCGGTAATGTGGCCGTCTGCATGCCATATTCCCAACTTATTGGTCTTTATTGTTATAGATTTGTGTACTCGAATCAGTGTCGATAATGAGAGATTATTACGTATGGATGTAAGTATGAATAAGGGTCAATGACGTGTCTCTTCATACATCGTTGTCCGTACATCGGGACATAAGAACTAATATCATCTCTATCTCTTCTTCTCATAGGTGTTTTGTTCAACTATTTCTCAGCTCACGACATATATGTTGTAAATCTTTGCAAATTTTTTGTCATATGTAATATGTAATTAATGTATATTTGGGAGAATGCATTTACGTTCATGCTACCCAAATTCTTATGTATTTGCATTTCTACCATTTGAATTCTATTTTTTTTACATTTATACAACCCAAATATTTCACATCACATAACAAAATTTCACCATGTAAATTTTTATAAAGTGAAATACATCTTTTCATGCATAGATAAGGTGACATGTACGTAAAAAAATTGAAGTTTAGGTGTTAGATATGTAAATACATAGGAATTGAGTGGTACGTTTGCAAATCTTCCATATAATTGAATACGTAATATGATCCATTGCTAGCAACACATAGAAGTGCATTTGTTCATTTCATGGAGTAATAACTTGTGTCAATTATTTGAAATAGAGAATTTTACTCACATGCCACACAATTCTTATGTATTTACATTTCTAACACCTAGTTTGATATTCATATTTAAAACACTTCAGCGTCATAAGACTATGCATGAAAATATGTTTTTCACTTTCAAAAACTTAATAATCGTGATATTTTTGATCTGATATTAACAATCTGAGTATTATGTATGTAAATATGAAAGTTTAAGTTTCAGATATGTAAATATTAAAAAAATATATGGTATATTTGTAAGCAAACCTTTAAAATTTATTACATTCTAATGTAGTGCAATTATATACCTACCATTTGAAACATTAACATTTTCAAAACTAGCATCATCTTGCATCCATTTTCAAGTTCTCACTCAAACCATCAAAATCCACAACGAAATCCGATCCCACATTGCAATTTTAACGAATTTTCAATAATTTAATCGCGACACACATAAATACGTATACACTTTAATTAAAAATCATAATAATCACTTAGGCGCTTATTCGGAAATGACAATATTTCCAATGCCATAAGAAGTCTTATGATAAAATCATTTACATCAAATTGCACATCCTTCCTAAAAACAATTCCAAATTTGCATGTAACAAATTTTCCCATTAATCCCATAACATGAAAATTACATTTTAGACCCCCTTTATAACCTCCCATAGAGATTCCCAACGGTCACATGTATTCAAAAACTCAAAACCTCAACCGTGAACTCATTTAAACCTCTTCCCCTCCCTTACTTATCCCCCTCCCCGCGCCCTCCCTCTCCCCCCCTCCATGGATAACCTCCTCCGCCGCCCTCCTCCTCGTCCATGGAAGAAAGGCCCTTCCCGCGGCAAAGGCGGCCCTCTCAACTCCTCCTGCGACTACCGCGGCGTCCGCCAACGCACTTGGGGCAAATGGGTCGCCGAAATCCGCGAACCCAAGAAGCGCTCTCGCATCTGGCTCGGCTCCTTCTCCACCGCCGAAGAAGCCGCCCTTGCCTACGACGACGCCGCTCGCCGTCTCTACGGCCCCGAAGCTTACCTCAATCTCCCCCACCTCCGCGCCCTCCCCTGCTCTTCCTCCTCCCTCTCAAATTCCAAACCTTTTTCCCGCCACCGCTTTCTCCGTTGGCTTCCCGTATCCGCCGCCGCAAGCCGGCCCTTGCTTAATCTCACCGCGCAGCATAGCGTTCATTCCATACACCAGAGGTTGGAGGAGATTAAGAAGAGAGGTGGTAGTGGTGGTGGGGGCGGTGGTGGCGGCGGCTCTGTTTCTAAGGTTCAGTATGAGGAGAGGCCGCAGATTGATTTGAGGGAGTTTTTGGAGCAAATGGGAGTGATAAAGGAGAAAGAGAAGGTTGTGGAAGAAGCGATGGAAAGGGAGGAGAAGGGAGAAGAGATCAGTGATGGAGGAGAGTTGGTGAATTGGGATGAGTTGGAGGAGATAAGAGCGTTTGAAGAACACGCGGCGGCCGCGGCGGTGGTCGGAGGTGCTGGTGGTGGTTTTCAGTTGCCGCTTTATCTCGACGTCGATGAGGAGATTAGTAGTCTGCCTATTCCCATTTGGGACCTCTAAAAATTTCACTTTAGTTTTCTATGAGCTTGTTATAGTTGTTAAGTATGTGTAAGAATAAACAAAGGAAAAAATATTTTGGTAATATATCTTGAAGCCATCTTAGCTTAAGCACTAACTTTGAAGTATTAATTGCTTTAATACATTACAATATATGTGACTTTATATGCCTCATAATAGTAATAATTGAAGGAATGTATATTAATTGGGATTAATGTTTGGGAAAATATGTTTGAGATTTTGTTTGGACAAAAATAACATTGCATTTGAGGACTAAATGTTTAGTTGAAATTTGACTCGAATAACATAGGTTTGATTAAGGTTCGAATTATGTTTGGGCAAGGTTCAATGTTAAAGCAGGGTTAGAACGATATATGAGAAATCTTAGATTCATGCTCGCATATTGCACGGATATGATTTCAACGTTTGGAACACGGTTTGAGTCGAGATTAGAGCTTTTTTTTAACATGATTCAAGCAAGGCTTGATCATAATTCAAACATAGATCTAAAATTGTTTATGCAAATACAATAGAATGCATTCTAACGATGTTAACATAGTTGATTAAAATTTTGATGTACTAAAGCACATGCAACCATAATAGTTATAATACAACTATTTTTATGATGAATAAAATAGAGTGCAATTCAAAAGATATAAAATAATAGCAATGGTTTAAAGAGTATAATTTAAGAGATATAGTCTACAAATAAAGAGATCTAATATATATATAAAGATTGATTGGCGGTTCGGTGGAACTGTCAACCAATCCCTTTGGGTTTTGCCAGCATCACTAGGTAGCGCGAGTCAGGACCCCATGAGCCAACCCATTTGAGGACCCCCTCCTTTTAGGCCACAGTCGCTAGAAACGGGATTCGAACCTTAGACCATAGGGGACTTGCACCGCCGAAGTGAATGCTCTACCAACTGACCTGGGAACACGCTTATATATATGAAAAGATTGGTTGACGGGCGAAACCGCCAACCAATCCCCTTGAGCTTCGCTAGCATTGCTTACCCCCTCCATTTAGGCAACAGTTGACAGAGGCGGGATTCAGACCCAAGACCAGAGAGAACTTATACCGCCGAAGCGGATGCTCTACTAACTGACCTAGGAACACGGCTCTCTCTCTCTCTCTAAATGTGGATCATTATATATATATATATATTATATATATATATATATATTGCTAAATTTATAATAATGATCCACATTTAAGTCTTTTATCAATTGGCATTAATGAGAAAATTAACCCATGTGTACCTTGTTATTTTTTCTAATTAAACATTTTTAGATATCTCCCCAAAAAATTAGCATATTTCCATTGTTGCTTTGGGATTTTTTTCATAATCCTAGAATTGCAATGATATGACATATCTAATTGCAATACATTGGGCTAGATATTCTTCCATATAGTTGCCTCTTAATCTACCATACTTCTCTTTAGTCATCTCAAAATTTCCATTCATGACATCTAATCCTAACATCTAAAAAATATTTCCTCATTTTTCAAACATTGATCATTAAGGAGGGCATAATCTATAGAAAAGGATTAGCACAAGGCTTCATATATTATTGTTTATGAGAAAATTAACTTAAGCATGCATATCAAAATAATTCACATAAGTTAATTTCAAAAGAGATAGCGAGCCAAAAATAATATAATTTGTATCTTATTCACATTATGTTTGAATAATCATTAAATAATATTCAAATTTTACTTAAATCATATTTGATCATCATTCCCCCAATGATCAAATGTTGTTAATCCATATTCAAATCTGATTTAAATGTTTATTGAACCTTCTTCGTATGTCATTTGACATTAACGGTCGCCACCACCAATCACTAATGCTCGACTACTATCATCCAACCTACTTTTCGACCATTATCACTTAACAGGCTCACGTTATCTAATCTCCATCACCTGATTGCCATGGGTCGACTATCTTCACTCAATTTTTCTTTTAATCAATTATCATCCAACCATGTTTTGACATTGGTCGATTGGTATTTCCCCATTTATATAATAAGAGCAATTTTACATTTCTAAAACCCAAATTTTATTTTTTATATTTATATCACTATAATCTTTTATACCACATGAAAACATTACTATTTTAACGATGAAAAAATAAACCATATCTTTTCATTCATGAGTAAGATGTAGGGCTGTCAAAACGACTCGTTGTTCACAAATAGCTCGTGTTGGGCTCGTTTTGGCTTGAAATACTATATATATATA